CACACAATCAAGTGTAGTATCTGCTCCGATCAATTTCAAATTTGATCCGTGGTACATCGAGACCCATAAAAAAAAAAAAAAAAAAAAAAAAAAAGCAATCGCGCTCGCGCGTGCGAGAGAGAGAGCCATTCTAACTACGAACCCCTTATTCATGGTCCATCGATACCTTTTTTTAATCCAAAAAAAAGAGAAAATCATCGCGCGAAAGTGAAAGCGGGAGAGAGAGAGAGAGAGAGAGAGAGAGAGAGAGAGAGAGAGAGAGAGAGAGAGAGAGAGAGTCCATAGAGATTTCTTTTTATCCAAAAAAAGGAGAAAACCGCACTCGCAAAAGTGAAAGCGAGCGAGTGAGAGAGAGAGAGAGAGAGAGAGAGAGAGAGAGAGAGAGAGAGAGAGAGAGTCCATCGAGACCTCCGATCTGTTTCATATCTGTTCCGTGGTCCATCGAGACCCAAAAAAACAAAAAACGTACGTGTACGTGCACGAAGTGAGCGAGCGAGTGAGAGAGAGAGAGAGAGAGAGAGAGAGAGAGAGAGAGAGAGAGAGAGAGAGTCTAACTAACTATGCGCCACCCCCCCCCCCACACACACACGATGAAGTGTGGTATCTGCCCCGATCAGTTTGAAATCCGATGAAGTGTGGTGTCTTCTCAGATCAGTTTCAAATCCGATCTGTGGTCCATCRAGACCCTCATATAAAATAAAAAAATGCATGCTGCAAACGCGCACGCCCGAGAGAGATACACCCCAATCTAACTAACTACGCCTCAACCCTCCCCCCCAACACGAGCAAGTGTAGTATCTGCTCCAATCAATTTCAAATTTGATCCATGGTCCATCGAGACCCTTCAAAAAAACAAAAAACAAAAACACACATGCGTGCACGCGCGCGCGTATGAGCGAGAGAGAGAGAGTAAACGAAACAGAATGGTAATTGCAAACATGGCGTTTGCAAGATCGGTTTCAACAGCCGTGCACACACAGCATAAGCACACACGCGCAGTCTCAACGGCCATGCCCCGTCCGCCAGTGCAACCCCCCACCAGCGCAATGCTGTATGGCAGGATTGCCTATCTCCTGACATCTGAGAAAGAATACTTCTTGCGAACTAGGGGAAATTGTGGTAAGATGGAGACAGGTATGGGAAGTGAAACACACAACAGGTTAGTTCAAATGCAACCATGACCAAACCCTCCAATTCCTTCATTATTGCGGGCGAAGCCGCAACAGGTCCCCTAGTTGTTTGTTCCGAGTCCTATTCATCACACTGGTGCTCCTTGGACATGGGCATCGCTCATCTTCAGATGGGCATGGCAATGCGGTCAGAGGATACAAAGCTATTGAGCCCTTGAGCAACTTTTTCATAATAGAGAGTTTCAGCTGGGAAGCCTTGAATAGCAATCAACAGGCCTCTGAGCTGCAAGTTTCTATCTCCAGGAGCAAAGACTCACCAGGACTGTAGGGACGGACACCGGGCACGGCTGGGAGATTATTTGGCTCACTGATTGATCCAGGTACGTACTCTGTGACCCTCCCAAACCACAGTGACAGACATCTGGTCGTAATCGACTCTCTAACAGCCCTTCTGACCACCCAGGAAATCACATCGTGATGAACTGAAATTTTGGCCAAAACCCAAGCAAGGGAGGCCTGGCTTTCTTGCTCACAATTAAATACTTCAGATTATTCGAGAGAGGAGATTTGAAACATAAAGCCTAGCCTAAGAGAGCTTATGGCCCTGCTATCCCACATTAATGAATCCCTCATTTCAAGACTACCCAATAAATGCCACTCAAGGGCTCTGCACATATACTGCTAAGTTTCTAACCCAAAACCAACGACTCACATCCTACATACATACATGCATACATACATACATAATACATATCACATACACATATGTGGGCAAAGGAAGAGGAAAAAGGAACAGGCTCGGAATTAGGCAAATTCTCAGGACAGTCCCTGGTGAAGAGGGGACATACGACGACAGGACTGACTGGCCTGGCAAGGCAGGAAGCCACGTAAAGGAAAAAGGATGGAAGAGCATGTCCTCCTCTGGTATACTACCTAATATCAAAGGAGATGCCGCTTTCACTCTCGACGAATTTCACAATCGGAACACGCGCCTTGCCAATCACCTGCAAAAGTAACAGAGTACTCATTTTTCTTGCTGCCCTCTTTTTCCCACCAGGAAATCTCTTTTTGCAATCAAAGAATCAGAGGGTCGTATTCTCCTGCTTTCTACAACAAGAAGAACTGAACAATTTTGCTTCCTAGAACTTTCCAAAGAGGAGCCAAAAAAATACGATAACCACACATGCCGTCAATGTCCAACGCCCTGTTGCCCTCCTACACGAGAGAGACGTGGCATCAGGAATCCCATCACTTTCCCGGGGGGGGGAGGTTACAAGCTGCATAGCGTTCTATGGACAAGGGATCAAACATCAGACAGGCTTCTTGAACCTCTCCTTGTCCTGCCTGTTTCTCCTCTTCGTTTTGTGGTATCCTAGCATTCCAAATGTCAGAGGCCTTATTCCAGACATCCGGAACAAGGCATTAGGGGTGGGGCACAGGTTCGGAAGAGGAGTGGGAAGAGAGGGGGGGGAGAGGGGAGGGGGAGAAGGAAGAGGAAGAAGAAGGCCGGAAATTGGAAGGTAGTAAAATAAAGAAAGATAAGGACAGCACAGAAGCGGAAACACACAGAGAGTGAAGTGCCAACTGCAACCTCCCAAGCTCTGATTCACAAGACCCCAGCTAAGGGGAAAAGTACGGTGTACAGGGTTCGGATCCCTAAGAGACCCCACCATCATCCCTCAGCCCCTATTGTTTTATGCCCTTGCATAGAAGCTTGAATCCTCACTGTTCAGCAGCCCATAAGGGAGGTCCCAGTTAGCAGTTATAGCCCATCTGGATCAAACGGAAATGCCATCGTGCAACCCAGAGAATGCAGATGCATTCATGAGAGAACAAGACCACTAAACTTGGCGCCACACACATGCATATCCCACTTTCTAATTTCATCATGCATGTCTTGACTCACAAACAAGTATCTCAGAACCTCAATGCAGGCAGAAATGTTCAAATTAAAGATAAGACGGCCCCGATAAGACGGGCCCCTCCTTCTCGCACGACCCAGCAAATGACCAAGCAGCGAGATCCTTCGGATGGTGGCACACAGCAGTAGAAGATTCTTCCTTTTCTCTCTCTCTCTCTCTCTCTCTCTCTCTCTCTCTCACACACACACACACACACACACACACACACACACACACACACAGCTCTGAAAAACTAACAGCCCGTATGAGCATTTCCACCCTTCAACCTTCCCTGCAAGGAATGTAATGAACAACACGAATAGCCAGATACAGTGCAAGCCTGTCGATGATGTCAGTTCGAACTCACTGATTGACAGTCAACTTCTAGCAGAAATGGTCACTTACTCTGACCAGGTGGGCATGCAGTCAATGGGCATTAGCACTAATGGCAACACACCAGAACCAAGCACTGCAATGAATGTGCCCATCGAACACCAACTCAAAAAAAACGAGTGATTTCTTCCCAACTGTCAAAATCACTTTCCAACCAACCAACCAACCAACAAAAAAAACAACCAACCAACAAACCAACAAACAAACCAACAAACAAACAAACAAATAAACAAACAAATAAACAAACAAACCAACAACCAAACAAGCAGCTAGGATACAATCACACAGAATGATCAATCAAGACTCTCAAAAAGTTGGACAACAATGCAATGCTCCATCAACACTGGTGGAAACAATGGTGACAGCTTACACAGGCACTCAAGGTTCTAGATATCATGACTTATATATTACTCACTACCTTGCAAGAGGTTTGTCTGATGGCCAGATGCTGCCGCTTGCTAGACTGTGCTTATAGCAGAGCTGTTGCAGCCAATGAACAAATAACTCAATTTAATTCAAAGGACCACATGCTTGTTCACCGACAAGCGCGGCCTTGACGGCTGCATGGCTCCATTTTGTTGCTGCTGAGATAAGCAAAGACATGGTGAGCAGAAGCTTTCCACTCGGTCCTCCCTTGTTTCAAGTACAGCAAAGCCACAGAAAAGAAGCCACATCAACCGCCATCATCTTGCAGCTTTCCAACTGTTCCATTCTTTTGCATCTTTTCTTGCAGCTTTCCAACTGTTTCCTTCTTTTGCTAAGGTCATGTGCTCTTGTAAAAGCGGTCTTTTTTCTTTCCAGACTGAAGTAGAACTCCGAACTACGCCACCATCAAAATACACACTGATGCTGACGACCGACATTTGCCGAGAAGAAAAGCAACAGATGGATGATTATCATGTTGTTCGCAACAGTCAGGGTGTGAGGCAGCACTTGCAAGGACACCATACCTGAATTTTCTTTGCCACTCTATTCCTGCTCAAACCACTGGCAACCGCCCTCAACCCTGTCACAGGTGCCCCGACATTCGAATTCAACACCACCACCTGCCACACAGCAAGTCCAAACATCCCATCGAATGAGTGAAACGATGGGCATGAAACAGACTGACCAAAAAATAACAAGCTGACTGTTCACGCTTATACGCAGACGAAAGCCAAGGTTCAGCTTCAATTTCATCAAAGTGAGAAATTGATCATTCCCAGTTCAATCATCTTACCGTCCTTCTCCATATTACCATCTTCCCATAAATACAATGTACGGTCATTATAGCTCTGCTCGGGGCGACCTTCAGTCTCGATAGCCTAAACTTCATGAAAGACATTGATCTCCTCTTTAGCTGGAGTCCACCAGCAAGCCCTAAGATAGGGAATGAAATATTCACAGCGAGGAGCAGGATGAAAGAAGAATACCAAGAAGAAGCAGAAGAACAGAAGCATTGCACTGTCCAACAAGATAAGGGCACTATATGGCACTGCACTACATGCACCTGATCGGACGCAGCAGCAGCAGTGGCATCCATATGAGCAGAGCAGCATTCATATTTCTCCAGTGCCAAAAATAAGGAGCTCTTGGGTGTCCATACCAGACCATCCATTCCTAGTGTCACATCCTTCCCTGGTCATGATCACACAGCACATCCATCCCTCCATTTGTCATTCTGATGAAGCAATTCCACCTCCCTCCATTTGTCATTCTGATGAAGCAATTCCACCTTTTGAACTCTCTTCTATTCCAATCTATAACCAGGCACAGATTCCCCTGCACTACATCCATTTAATCTCCGAGTTGAAAGCAGGACGAATGAGAAAAACTTACATCTACATCACTGGTAGGAAGATAAAGCCCCGTCGCAAAGGATCCAAAGACAACCACCTGCACGGTAGAAAATTTTGGACATCCAGCAAAGAGCAAAAGAACAGCACCATCAAATGGTTTTTGATGAGAAGTTGAGAACATCAAAACAGGTAATAACAGATCACCCCGCCCATGCGGATTAATGGAACACCCACATAACTGTTAATAAACCAACCGCAAGTTCCAATCCTCATGCACTCAGATACAAGTAAGGCTAGGGACCTATACCCCTTAAGGAACAAAAGGGGGGGACGGGGGAAGGGGGGGGGAAGGAAGGGGGGCGCAGATCGATCCAAGCAGTAGGAGAAGTCAGCCATGGCCAATCCTTGCACATTCTCAGAAATGAACCAAACAGGTGTCCCCTCGCAAAATCCTTCACATTTTCAGCACAAAGGAAAGCCAAACACACACAATCTCCCCGCACACACGCACATAATCTCCCAGCATAAATCCCATCATTTCGATAGAGAGACAATTTGTGTGCTTGTAAAACGAAATGCAAGCCCCCCTCCTTTCCCCGCAATGACCTTCTGTACATGAAGCATTGTGGGAGCCCTCTCAAACAGTTTCCCTCCCTGGATGCACGCAGGCAAAAAATGTATCACAGCCATAGTACCCAACACCTCCGGTAAAAGTTCACGACCAATCAACCACAGCAACTCTTTCGCCGCAATGGCATCTGTCTTCGTCAAACCACGGCCATCAGAGCCCAGTTCATCATGAAAGAGAGGAGATGTTATTGTCGTTAAACCAACCTTCTGAGCTCTCACTGTGAAATTGTCACGTTATTGTACCGGATGTGCATCAACATTCAAGATTAAACTGAGCACATCCTACACCAAACAATCCGTCAGTGCTCTCTCTCTCTCTCTCTCTGTGCATGTGCTGCATCCAACTGAGGGCCAACGCCCCAGAGTTCGAACGGAGCTGCTGCAGCGCATGCAGTTGCAACTTTTGAGACCACCATCTTTCCCCAAATAGACCGCATAGTCATTATCACTGTACCTAGACTGACAGCTGCCCTAAATACAGCTATAAGAAGCTGTGTTCCATTTGGGGAGCCGCCGACATTTTAGGCCATACGTAGTGAAGAGTATGTGGAGCAGAAGATTTGAGCAGAAGATTTGAAGCCTGGTCAGAAAAGGTGACCCCAACATACCCACTGGCCAAACGAGTGGCCCAACACACCTCCCGACCAAATCCTATCTTGAGTTTTTTAGTTGTTATCTAGGAGTTATCGCTGTTCTATTTTTAATTGTGGTTAGACATACCCAATGGCCAAACGAGTGCCCCCACACCGAGACAGGGTTGACCAAAGGTGATGCGTGATGTGATTCAATGGTTTCAAAAAGAGCACCACATGGCCGTTTCATTTCTCTGAACATGGCTGCAAGTGTAATGGAACCTGCACCCTACTCGCGTGCACCTTCGCAGCAAGGGGTACTACTTTCGCTGCCCAAGCATCACAACATGGATGCCTGAGATACGAGATTGGTAGCTCGTCCTGCTCACACATGCCTGTGCAGCAAGGAGCACCACTTTTTCCTGTCTAAAGCATCAATAGCTGCAATTGGGATGCAGCAAGGAGCACCACTTTTTCCTGCCTGAGCTCGATGGCTTTTGAATGTTATGAAGATGCCATTGGGATGATGGTCACAATACCCTGATCGATCATTGTTTGGTCACACTGACAATGATCTGTGACAGGCCCGTATTATTGTCGCACTCCAGCATAGACAGGGAAAAAAAATAAGTCCACCGCATATGGGTGGAATGGGAGTACTTGACAGGCCTCTAACCCCTCCACAACTAATTACCATTTCTCCTCTATTATCACGGTTCATTCTACCAGGGTTCCAAGCTGGCGTACGATACCTACGAAGATCTCTCAGGAGCGGCAACATCGCCCATGCTAATTTCCTTGTCTGAAAAAAGTGTGTTTTTTAAACAAAGTTAAAAAGCGTCATGCTTTGTTTCCCCTCAATCGTTCTACTTTGAGGTAAGACGCGGATTTAGACAACAAGCTATCCTTGTCACTCAAGACTAAGTATCCTTAAAATCTAGACATTCTCGACACACTTGCAAGAGCGGCGCAGGGAGAACAGACTCGTAATGGCCGCAGTTTGGACCATACGGGTACTGTGGCCTGGTCACCACTCCTGAGGTCGGATGTGACAAGGCGCAAAACACAC